ATCACCCAAATCTCATAGACTATGACCAGCAGTCTGACTCATATAGGTGTGTTTCTCAAAATATGTTCTATAGGACAACATCTTTGCTTTAGCAAGCTACTTGGAACACATTAAGGTAAAAAACAACATGCCTTACATAAAGGAAAGATATGCATCAGAAATGTGTCTTACTAAGGATCTTTTCTCATAATTTACTACTAGCTTGTTTCACCATCCTACTTCACGAAATCTCCGATCACATAGAATAGGTTACCACTATAGTAAATTTCATGTGAGTCTCAAACCCATCTCTCTCGATGCACTTTCTATCACATTGCATGACAGACCCTTAGTGAACTGATCTGCTAGATTGTTAGATGTATGAACATAGTCCAACGCTATTACTCCAGAATTTCTCAATTTTCTGATAGATTTTAGTCGTCTCTTAACATGCCTTCTAGACTTCATGTTATCCTTAGAACTGTTAACCTTCGTAATCACAGTTTGGTTATCACAGTTTATAGAAATAGTCGGTATAGGTTTTTCAACAACTGGTAAATCGATAAGAAGATCACGAAGCCACTCAGCCTCAGAGCCAGCGGTGTCTAATGCTATGAGTTCTGCTTCCATTATAGACTTTATTAAGATAGTCTGCTTGTAAGACTTCCAGAAACCACCACCACATCCAAGCGAAAACACATATCCACTTGTGGCATAAAGCTCATCAGCATCAGAGATCCAGTTGGCATCACAATAGTCTTCCAGCACCTTTGGGTGTCCGGTATAACGAATACCATAGCTCATAGTGCCTTTTAGATAGCGCATCACTCTCTTAAGAGCACGCTTAGGATCATCTCTCAGGTTTGACATAAAGCGGCTCAGACTGCACACACATCAAATGAGATGTCAGGTCTTGTTGCACTAGCAAGATACATGAGCGAACCAATTATCTAGAAATATCTCAACTGATCCCTTGCTATTCTCCGATTTTTCCTCAATAGCATACTCGGGTCATAAGGTGTAGGAGCAGGTTCACAGTCACTAAACCCAAAGCGACTCAGCACCTTTTCCACATAGTGGGATTGTAATAGAGTTACCCCACCATCACCTTCTCTCAGAAGCTTGATATTAAGAATAACATCAGCTTCTCACAAATCTTTCATTTCAAAATTATTAGATAAAAATTCCATCATCTCCTCAACCACTTTGAGGCTGGATCCAAAGATCAGTATGTCATCAACATATAAGCACAAAATAACTCCTTCACCCCCACCATACCGATAGTACATACATTTGTCAGCTTCATTCACAACAAAGCTAGCAGATGTTAAAGTTCTGAAGAACTTCTCATACCACTGCTTAGGAGCTTGTTTTAGGCCATATAATGACTTTAATAATTTACACACCTTGCCTTCTTGACCATTTGCTACAAACCCATTTGGCTGATCCATATAGATCTCCTCCTCTAACTCTCCGTTTAGGAAAGCTGTCTTAACGTCCATTTGATGAACGATAAGACCATAAGAGGCTGCTAGGGAAAGCAAAACTCAAATTGTAGTCAATCGGGCAACCGGTGAATAAGTATCAAAGAAATCATCACCTTTCTTTTGAGTATAACCCTTGGCCACAAGTCTTGCCTTGTACCTCTCGATAGTACCATCAGGCCTAAGTTTTTCCTGAACACCCATTTGCACCCTATAGGCTTGCACCCATAGAGACGATCAACTATTTCCTAAGTTCCATTAGATATAATAGAATCCATCTCACTCCGTACTGCTTCCTTCCATAAGTCAGCATCAGGAGAGGAATATGCCTCTTCAATGGTCGTTGGTGTGTCATCCACAAGGTACACAATATAGTCGTCACCAAAAGACTTTGCAGTCCTCTGTCTCTTACTTTTTCTAGTGACTATAGTGTCATCCTCCTCAGGATTTTGCATATAGGGTTCCTCAATTTGTTCTATCGGAGTAAAATTTTCATGCTCATGGGGAATTATAAATTCATGACCAGTCGTGCTAGGTGCATTTTTCATAGAAAATTCATTCTAAAAAAATGTAGCGTCTCTAGATTCCATGATTGTATCAATAGCCATCTCAGGAATACTAGAATTTATAATTAAAAATCTATAACTCACGCCGTGAATAGCCTAACCAAGAAAAACACAATCAACGGTCTTTGATCTAAGCTTTTGCTTTTTGTTTATTGGCACATTCACCTTTGCCAAACAACCATAAGTTCACAGTTAAGAGAGATTTAATCTCTTCTTCTCCCAATCCTCGAATGATGTAATTTCTTTGTTCTTTGTGGCACCCTATTCAGGACATGACACGCTGTCGATATAGCCTCACCCCACTATTCCTTAGATAGTCCCGCAGTCTCTAACATGGCATTAACCAAATCAGTTAGAGTGCGATTCTTTCTCTCTGCAATCTCATTGGACTGTTGTGAGTATGGTGGCATCCTCTCATGAATAATTCCATACACCACGTAAAACTCAGAAAATTCATTTGAGAAATATTCTCCCCCACGATTTGACCACAAATGTTTGATTTTCTTCTCAAGTTGATTTTTTACCTTAGCTTTATAGACTTTAAAATAATGCAACGCTTCATCTTTAGTTTTCAATAAATACACATAGCAAAATCTAGTACAATCATCTATAAATGTCATGAAGTATCGTATACCGCCTTTAGTCAATTCAACATTCATTTCAAGATAAATCGTAATGAACGAGTTCTAATGGTGCCAAGTTCTCGCCTCAAAGAGACCTTGTGACTTTTGCGCGGTTGCTTCGATTGCACACACATCTAGCATTTAGAATCTTTGACTAAGTTAAATTTTGGGATTAAATTCAGATTTGCAAGCCGCATGAGACAACCAAAATTAATGTGACAAAGTCGTGAATGCCATATATTCGACTCATCCAAAACATTAACATTGTTCACTACTTTATTACACACATCATCAAGCAAAGATAAACAAAGAAACATCAGCACACATGAATGAATATTAGCACCACTTGTCCATCCATCACTCGGTGACAAAAAGCTGAAAGAACAAAAGGTAAAGAATTAACATACCCAGATGTTCCTCCTCCGCCTCGCTAATCACCACGTTTTTTGATTTCTTTTCTTGCTTATATTCTTGGTCTAGGCATGCACTTGCCTAATGCTCATCACTCCCGCAAACAAAGCAACCTCCACCTTTCTTATTGTTTTTCTTTTTTAAATTGTGCAGTTTGTTTAAGCTTTATATTGTTGTTTTCTTGCATGTTCTTCTTCTTATTACGGGATGCAAATGAGTTTTTCTTCTGCAGCATATTGGCAGCGGAAGACTCAACTCCTTTTTCACGGTTGTCTTTTACTCTCGCCCTCTCCTCAACATCAAGAGATCCAATAAGCTCAGTCACGCTAAACTCTTGTCTCTTGTGTTTTAGAGAAGTAGCAAAATTCCTCTAAGAAGGTGGCAGCTTAGTGATTATACCGCCGGCCACAAACTTATCGGGTAACAGACATGGAAAATGTTCTACTTCCTTTACTAGCGCATGTATCTTATGAGCCTGTTCCACTATAGAACGGTTTTCAACTATTTTGTATTCATACAACTGCCCCATAAGGTATAGCTCACTACCAGCATAAAAAACTCTAAACTTTGCCTCAAGAGCATTCCATAACTCTTTGCCTGATGTGCAAGATATATAGTTTTTCTCATACTTACTATGAAGTGCACTAATCACGGCGCCTCGAAACAGGTTATCGGCAGCCAAGAACTTTTGCTCCTCCTCAGGAGTAAATTGTTCAGGCTTCCCCTGTGCGGCGTGATAGCAGTTCATAGCAATCAACCACAATACCATCTTGGCACGTCATATCATAAAATTCTTGCCATCAAAATTATTTGGCTTCAAAACAGCAGCAAAACCACTGACAGAAAATTGCCTAACATTAGGTTTTTGGATTGTTAGATAATTAGGCATTTTCATGGTCAATTTAATCCAGAAATAAAACATCAACAGGTTTGTGACGACAAATATGTGCATGTGTATATCACTAACAAACGCTACAGCATGCAAGTATGACATACAGATCGATACAGTAAGAACGCAAAGTACGGTAATCACAGAGTTAAGATTGTACGCAGCGGAGGGTCCCATGCCAAGGGCATCGGAGGCTCCATTCGCACTAGTCGACATAGTGCGTTGCCCGAAGTCGTGGACCACAGTCGATACAAGAAGGTGTTCGCGAAGGCAGTCCCATGAACGGTCACCGAAAGAAAAGTTTCATGGCGATGACCAGAAGAAGGCGGGTTTCATGAGCGATCACCGAGAAGAAGACGTCAGACGAAAGCGATCGTGGAATCGCTCTCGAAAAACCTAATCGCTGCACACCCCGTGCAAGGTTCGCAGGCGGACAAGAGTTCCGGAGGCATGTGGTCTCTCGGAAGCGAAGCGAAAGATCTGGACTGACGGAGGACTTCAGATTTATGGCTGCGGCAGGGAGGGAGAAAGGCAGCGGAGGAACCCAGGAGATGGAGACACGAAGAGACGGTAACTGGCGCCATCAGTTCGCCTCCACCAAAAAGGAGAGAAACTCCCATGATTATGTGGATTAAGTGGCAAAACTTGACCACGCCCGCCCGCCTGTCACGCCCCCGGCCCAGCCGGCAGCAGCGGCGCGCGCACGTGTGGCACTCATGTGTCCTTTTGTCAGCTTCTCAATTAAGATGTATAATTTCCAATCAAATAAGCTGAGTAAACGTTCAGTCAAAATCCCATACAATATTAACCCATACAACACTTAATGTTACCTACCATGGCCGGCCCCATAATATATCAAGTTGGGGGTAAATAAATACACTTACGTACGCATTAGCTAACACGCATGCATCACCTGAACGAACAACCTGCTTTTTACTGCTTCCGTGGTCGTCATCTCCGGTTTCATGCTGTAGCATGCAGGCAGGCATACACGAGCCCAAATCAAATGGTGCTCGATCGTGAGTCGTGACCGTACCGTGTTGTACCGTTAGAGCATCAAGGTGTCGCCGTCGACGTCGTTGATCCAACCGAACTTGTCCATGTACGGATTGGCGAGCGTCGCCGGCGGGTAGGCGTCGATGCAGTCGGCCCAGGCTCCCCTGTCGGCCATGTCGCCGGTCACCTCCCACACGCAGCTGTTGCACTTGAACCCGGACCCGAAGGTGACCATGAGCACCCTGTCCCCGACCTTGAGCCGCCCCTTGGCCTCCATGTACGACAGCACGTACCAGAGGCTGCTCGCCGACGTGTTCCCCCACCGGTGCAGCGTCATCCGCGACGGCTCCACGTCCTCGTCCTCCAGGCCCAGGCTCTGCTTCACCGCCTCGATGACGGCCGTGCCGCCGGGGTGGAGGCAGAAGTGGTCCACCCCGGCCTTCAAGTTGATCTTTGGCGCCGCGTCGCCGCCGTTCTGCTGCTTGCCGGATCCGGAGCCCTGCATCTGCGGGAACCGGAAGAAGAGCCTCCGGGCGAGGTGGTGCGCGGTGAACCGCGCGAGCTCGGCGACGGGGAGCACGCGCGGCGCGAGGCGGCGCAGGTTCACGGCGAAGGCGCGCGCACGGCGGCCTTGGGGAGCGCCTTGCTGAGGCTGATCCCGACGCGGCCCTCGCCGTCCTCCCGCTGCAGCGCGCACGCGTGCGCGTCGTCGCTGGCGCCGATGTTGGCGCGCACCAGGCAGCCGAGCTCCATCTTGGCGCGCCTGCGGTGCGCCGGGTCGTTGGTGACCAGCACCGCGGAGCCGCCGCAGCGGAACAGGCAGTTGGCCAGCATCATGGACTTGTCGGTGCCGGAGTACCAGTTGGGCGCTATGGACTCAGACGACACCACGAGCGCCAGCGCGCGGGGCCGCGTCCGCAGCGCGTTCCGGGCCAGGTCCAGCGCGATGAGCCCCGCGCTGCACCCCATCCCCGTGAGGTTGTACGCCGCCACGTCCTCGCGCAGGCCGTAGCGGCGCACGATCCGGGACGACAGCGACGGCGACGGGGAGAGCATGGAGACGTTGAAGACCAGCACGTCCACGTCGCGCGGCGCGAACCCCGTCCGGGCGAAGAGCTCGGCGATGGCCTCGTCGAAGAAGGAGTCCATCTCCTCCAGCGAGTCCTGCAGGGTGGGCGTGTCCTCGCGGCCCTCCAGGATGTTGCGCGGGGCGTAGGTCTCCTCGCCGATGCCGGAGCGGACGATGACGCGGAGGAGGAAGCGGTAGTCGGTTAGACCCAGCCGCACGTTGCGCTGGATCACGTCGCCGGCCGTCTCCGTCGACAGCTTCCGGTCGTCGCGGGGCTTGTGGCACACGTAGTCTAGGAGGTAGCACCGCGACTGCCGGCGGCGTGCGGCGGCCGTCCAGGCCAGGTACGCCATGGCGTGCGCAAGGATGACCCACGTGAGCAGAGGAAGCAGCTCCATCGATCAGTGGATCTTGCTGGATTGGTTCTCTTGGTGCTTGAGCTACTAGGCACGTTGGTCTGGCACCATAAGAAGAGAAGTTGACTGTGTGATTACTTGCATGCTTATAGTGTGTTTATATAGGCGCCGCGCGCGCGTCGAGCCCGGCTCCGCCAGAGGAGCTGGGCCAAGGGGCCTGGCTCAGACGAACACGGGCTTTGCTGGGCTATTTTGTACTTTCGACCAACCTTTTAGGTATTCTTTATTTTTGCTCAAAAAAAGGTATTCTTTATTTTTTTTTCTAATTATCGATAATTTCATACTAGAAAATACTGGTAACTTTGAGCTGCCACAGGCTTCCTGCAACTGTTCAGATAGCAGCACTCATTTACTGTGATTCAGTTAAGAGTTAGATCTAATTAAAGGAGAGCCTCTAGTCGCAGATAAAGTAACTTTGACCACATCTTTTATTTTGAAATCCGCTTATATTCAGCATGTTCGCTCGCTGGTTTCAGCCAGGGCTTACCAGCCAGTCAACAGTATTTTCCTCTCACAACAAGCCAAGACTACCGGTGCTTATCACATTGTAAACCAATCAAATGAAGAGGGCGAATCACATACCTGATATTAGACACCTCCGGCTCCTCTTTATTCTATTGAAAACAGCTGTGAACGGCTCCTCTTAAACCGTTTGGTATGGCTCCTTGGGTACATATCATATTGACTGTTCATAAGTTTTTTTCCAAGACTATTGGTTTAAGCGAGAACGACTTGTCGAGCATCTCTAGCAACTTGATAAAACCACTCTCTAAAACTGATTTTTGCTCAGAGGTCAAAAGCCAAAGTCCAACAACTCCCTATCAATGGTTGCCCATTTTCATGTGGCGTAAAACGCTGCTATGACACATCAAAGTTTGCGCCACGATAGGGTACGAATTCATCTATCGCGTGATCTAGGGGGTGTTTGATCCAGAACTAAAGTTTAGTAGATGTCATATCGGGTATTTATGTACTAATTAGAAAGACTAAACATGAGTGTAATTAGACTTAATGGATTCATCTCGTAAATTAATCTCAATCTGTGCAATTAGTTTTGTAATTAATCTACGTTTAAAACTCCATGCATATATCAAGCATTCAATATAACATGGAGTAAATTTTAGTAGGTATAACCATGTCATGCGGCCACCGACCTCAATGTGTCCCTGAGGTACGCCGGCCTCCTTCCTTTCCACCATTTTTCCATCTCAAACCCGGTGTGGCAGCTGTTTTTGAAAATTTCTTCGACTGTTATCTTCAAAATACGACATGCCTAGAAACGTGTCTATTGAATCTGCAAGTAAGAATATAAAAACGTTTCCCTTCTGATACCTTTTACCTTTTGGCTAGCTGTGTTTTCTGAGAATTTTTTTTCCAGTTGTTACAAAAAGCTCTTACAGAGATTATTTACGGCAACGGGGGTTCCCTCTGCACAGGCTTTGGAAAAAAAAGGACGTCTTAAAAAAATCTGTTTGTAGCAGTGAATTCATCAGAACATACAAAAATAGCTTAGAATCTAAGTTTGAAACAGTTAAAGTTAAGATAACCCTAAGACTTCGCTTCACTTTTTATGCTTGTGGAGGTAGTAGAAAGTGAATTCGCATGCGGTGCACAGAGAGGAAGTTCTATATATGTCATTTGTGCAAATTAATCTTAAAGTTATTAAAAACATAATGTCTTTCTCAGGTCAGTCTCAGCCCATACCTTTTAGGTATTCTTTATTTTTGCTCAAAAAAAGGTATTCTTTGTTTTTTTTTCTAATTATCGATAATTTCATACTAGAAAATACTGGTAACTTTGAGTTGCCACCGGCTTCCTGCAACTGTTCAGATAGCAGCGCTCACTTATTGTGATTCAGTTAAGAGTTAGATCTAATTAAAGGAGAGCCTCTAGTCGCAGATAAAGTAACTTTGACCACATCTTTTATTTTGAAATCTGCTTATATTATCTCACATAACTGAAATTAGACACCTCCGGCTCCTCTTTATTCCGTTGAAAAACAGCTATGAACAGCTCCTCCTATTAACCGTTTGGTATGGCTCTCATGTATATATCATATTGCCTGTTCATAAGTTTTTTTTCCCAAGACAATTGGTTTAAGCCAGAACTGACTTGTCAGAGCATCTCTAGCAACTTGATAAAACCACTCTCTAAAACTGATTTTTGCCGAAGAGGTCAAAAGCCAAAGTCCAACAACTCCCTATGGTTGAGTTTGCGCCACAACAGGGTAGGAATTCATCTCTCGCGTGATCTAAGGGGTGTTTGGATCCAGGACTAAAGTTTAGTAGATGTCATATCGGGTATTTAGGTACTAATTAGAAAGACTAAACATGAGTCTAATTAGGTTTAATAGATTCGTCTCTTAAATTAATCTCAATCTCACGTAATTAGTATTGTAATTAGTCTCACGTTTAATACTCCATACATATGTCAAACATTCGAGTATGTCAGGGGACTAAATTTTAGTAGGTGAAACCATGTCATGCCGCCACCAACCTCAATGTGTCCATGAGGTACGTCGGCCTCCTTCCTTTCCACCATTTTCCCATCTCAAACTCGGTATGGCAGCTGTTTGGTGAAAATTTCTTCAGCTGTTATCTTTAAAATACGACATGCCTAGAAAGCGTGTCTATTGAGCGATCCCTAAAATGATCTGCAAGTAAGAATATAAAACGTTTCCTTCTGGTACCTTTTACCTTTTGGCTAGCTTAAAACAGTGTTTTCTGAGAATATTTTTCCCAGTTGTTACAAAAGCTCTTACAGAGATGATTTACGGCAACAGGGCTTCCCTCTGCACAGGCTTTGGAAAAAAAAAAGGACGTCTTAAAAAATCTGTTTGTAGCAGTGAATTCATCAGAACATACAAAAATAGCTTATAATCTAAGTTTGAAACAGTTAAAGTTAAGATAACCCTAAGACTTCGCTTCACTTTTTATGCTTGTGCAGGAGCTGTAGAAAGTGAATTCGCATGCGGTGCACAGAGAGGAAGTTCTATATATGTCATTTGTGCAAGTTAATCTTAAATTTATAAAAAACATAATGTCTTTCTCAGGTCACTCGCAGCGAATAATTTCATGACGCTGTTTCCAAAATGACATGTCATATAAAATGAATGCTGCCCTCTGCGACCTACGCGGGAGGGTGATGGATCGGAAACGGTGGCCCATGCACCGCCCATCCATAAGTGATCGAAGGATACAGTCTGGTGGCGTGGCGGCCACCGGAAACAGGTTAATGCGCATGGTTTTCGGTTGCCCGTTTGGAGATCGCAGCAGGCTGACGTGGACGAAGCTCTGGCGGCCGTGCTCCGACGAGCCACGGTATGTCATGTGTGAATGTGAACTAGCTAGCTCTCGGTTTCCTGCTCCGTTGCTTGTGTGCCGCATAGCCTAATCAGTATTTATCAGCTAAGGATACGTACGTATGTGACGTCGTCACCGTGTGTCCTTCCTTGTGCCAAGGTACGACGATGCCGCCACCGGGAGCGCCGCCTCTGGCGGACGCCGCGAAGAGGAGCTTCGAGATGGGCAAGGAGACGGTGGAGCAGGCGGCGGCGTCCACTGCAAGGGCTACGCGGGACGCCGCTGAGACGGCCAAGGAAAGGTGAAGGAGCAGCCTCGCCGTCCGACGGCGCTGAGCTCTCAGCCTGTTCCTCGTATTTGGTTTATAAGACACGACTTATCAGCTAACGAATAGTATTTTTCTCTCATACTAAATCAGCTAATAATACTTTCAGTCATGGCTTAGCTGCTAAACAAGCCCAAACGAACAGCCCCGTTCGCTTATTGAATTTGGCTGAAAAATACTGTTCCCGGCTGAATTGTTGTGAGAGAAAAACACTGTTCCAGATAAAAAAAAAACCGAATAAGTCGGCTTTTAAGGTAAGCCGACGGGGCCAAAGACTGTACCGCACATGTGACATGTCCCATATATGTACACCAGTCTTCCCTACAGTGACTAGTCTAGTGTACTAGTGCATAGGCAGCGTAGGCGTTGAGTTCGGTGTGACTTATTGCTGATATGCCTGATTTATAGAGCTGATTTGTTATAAAAGAAAAACATTGCTCCATGACTAAAAAAAGTAGGATTGATTCTGGTTTATAAGCTCAACCCAGAGCCATAGCCATGCGCGCGATTGGTATGTGAGCTGAGTTCTGGATTTCCGCTTCTGGATCAGTCCGCTTGTTCGTCATAGTATATGTTGGCTCTCTCTTCACCGTCGAGAGGAAGATGTCAAACCTGGCAGAGATGAAATAAAGTCTTAGTTCATCCTGGTAAAGTTTACTCCCTGTCCTATTAAATGTTTTAGATATATACATAAAATATTATATATAGACTAAAAAATAACTAATTATAAAGTTTGCGACTAATTTGCGAGACGAATTTTTTAAATCTAATTAGTCCATGATTTGATAATGTGATGCTACAGTACACACATGCGCTAATAACAGATTAATTAAGTTTAATAAATTCGTCTCGCGGATTTCTAACGAATTCTGTAATTTATTTTTTTATTAGTATCCGAATTATCCATACGATACCCCGTATGACACTTATATAATATCCTGAATTTAAACAAAACCTAAAAGCAAAAATGCGTGACAGATAGATAAATGCTACTACACCACTTCTCAGGACTGAATTGTGGCAAGAGCTAGTTTTGCAAGAGGCCGAAATGGTCAAGGCAAGATCAGTCCAGAGACGATGAGCCTTCAGCTCTCAACAGAGCAGCCTGCACTTGAGGTGGCTGGACTTGTCCTGCCCTGGCTATCCAGGTATACCATACTACTCCGGATGCCCTGTCCTACATGTCTTTGGTTCCGAGCTCCACAGACCAGAGCATTTTTGTTTGCAGAGGAATCCGACGCAGCAGCAGTTACTCAAGGTTCAGCAGAAAAGGAGCGCTACCACGAAAAGTCATTACCGCAGCGAGGGCGCGAGGAAGTTTCAATGCTAGTTCACTCACCGTCAGAATCGTCCGG